CTTCAGTGATGAGCACAGCTCACTCGATCCTCTTCTGCCTGCCAGTCCCCAGTCCCCGATCCCTGCCTGCAGTGCCCTCCCTCCCCACAGGGTATCCCTTCTCATTCCGAAGCAGGAAGCCTCTGCTGCTACCAGGTTGACTCCTGAGCCTATGAGGTCCACACCTACTGCACACAAAAACTCCTCACTGAACAAGGGCTGACTGGGGAGGCTAGAAGACACGGGAAAGCACAGCTCTGCGAGGAGCGCCAAGTGCAACTCCTGGCACGCTGGGAGGCTGAGGCAGGAGGATGCCAAGTGTGAGCTCAGCCTGGGCCATTCAATGAGGCTGTCTCAAAATTAACAAAAATAATAATAAGGCTGGGAATACAGCTTAGTGCAAAGGTGTTGGTTTCAACCCCCAGTGAAGTCAATCAATCAAATGAATCCTGATAAAAACAAACATGCAGTTCTTTAATGGGAGGGAGACAGGAAACGTAAAAGCTGTAAGGTGTTACTTGATTTTGGTATAGAATTGTGTTTAAAACATTAAAAGGAAGAGAGTCGAAGCAACAATACCAAATTGGAGGGCTCGGGTTTTAGAAGGTAGATGCCGATCAGCTGCAGGTCACCTGACAGTTCTCCACAAGCCCAGGGGTGCCCAGAGCAGGAGCAGGGGGCCAAGGCCCACCTCGAACCCTTCCCTCCCTACTCCCCAGGAAGCTCATGCCAAGCTGGTCAGGTGAGTGGACAGCACCGATTTCAGACACAAAGAGGCTGAGGCTGACTTGCAACCTACTCGCAAGTGCTTCCAAGTCATTCTGCCCCTTAGAAGTAACAGAGGAGATGGAGGAAGGGGGAGGAAGGGAGAAGACACCAAGAGGCCCAACTCGTGGACACTGGGAGGCAAGGCCGCAGCTGCCCTCAAATGGAGCATCCTGCCTGCAGAGGCCAACTTACCTCTACTTTCTCTACTACTTGCTTCCCAAAGGAGCACACTTTGGTGGAACAGGTGACTGTCATATTTTCGGAACTCTCGTACTGACTGGTTACACCATAAAAGGCACCAGCATCGTCTTGAATATTGCAGTTTAAGTCGGCCTGTTGGGAAGGAAACGGGGGTGGGTTATTCTCTCATCCCAGGAGTCATGGTAACAAGCAGCCAACGCCAGGGCCCCGCACCCAGTGGCTGGGCAGCAGAAGGGGGCTTGGGAGGGGGCTCAGAGATGCCCCTCTAAAAACAAGTGTCTAGCAGTCACTTTGTATAGAGGATGTAGCCCTGGAAAACGCTTCCTGGAAATGATCTGCTTCTTGTAGCTATTCAGTTTTACTTTCATGCATTCTGCATCAGTATAACACCATTTCTTTCTTTTTTATTTATTTTTAAATGTATTTGTTGTTACAGGGTCTCCTACTCAGCTCAGACTCATGGTGATCCTCCTGTTTTCAGCCTCCCCAGTGCTGGGATTATAGGCATGCAACACTATGCCCAGATTCTGTGGCCAACTCAGCCTGCCGAGGCGGCAGGCAGGGCAGCCACACTAAGTTTTGGAGAGATTGGGAAGAACAGAAGACTTGCAGCCAGCTAGCCATGTATTGTACACGTGACGCAGATGCTTTACTAAAGTTACACAGCCCAGAGGGGAACGAGTCTTCCTGAGAACTGGTTTACAAAGATGCTAAATTGGTGCCTCGTTCCACACGTTTTTCTCAAGCACAGCTCATGCTAGATCCTAGACAGGATCTGGTCACAACCGCATGTGTGAGGTCAACATGCACATAAAGCACCTACCATGTGAGAGGACAATGACTGTCACACCAAACACACCAGAACGCAAACAGGGGAAGGCACTGCTTCTAAAGAGGGCTCAGTAAGTGCACGGTTGTAGGAGTCGGGGTTACTGCAGTTTGGATCACCGCCATGACCTGAATGTGTCCCCGAAGTTGTGTGCTGGAAACTCCACCCCCAGAGCAACAGCACTGGGTGATGGGTCCTCCTGAGGTGCTCAGGACTCTGCTCTCACAAGCAAATTGACTCCTAACTCCTGTATAGAAAGGGCTTCCACAAATGAGCTCTCGCTCTTGCCCTTCTGCCTTCCACTGTGTGAGGCTGCACTGAAGCCTCGTGAGACAGCAGTTCCTCGAACCTGGCCTTCCCAGATGAGGAAGAGAGTTCTGCTCTTTACAAACCTTGCTGTCTGTGGAAGACAGACCTCCCACCACAGTGCAGGGCTGTCACTACTCATCACTTGTGGATCCCATACTGCACACTGAGCTGGGGAGAATGAGCAAGGCTGGGCTGGCGCCTGCTCTCCTGGGGCTAATGATTTAGTAAGGAAGGCATGAAAATGAGAGGGAGGCCCCACAGAGGGACGGGGAACAAGGAGAGGGGAGAGGCTCTCTGAGGCTCTGCAGCTTGGATCCAAAGAAAGAGGTGCATTCCCTTGGGGAGAAACCAGAGCCCAAACACAGGACTGTGAAAGGCTGGGTGGGATTGAGACAGCAAAGGAGATGAGCTGGGAGGCAGGAGGGCTGGGTCTTCCATCCTGAGACTGAGGGACTGAGGAGTTCCAAGCAGGCAGGAGAGCAGCAGCGACAGCTAGATTCAAACTAATGATGTCGGGCCCCACAGCTAACCACAGTTTGGAGAGAGAGAAGGACGAGTGTAGACACAGACGTGGCACTGGCATAGCCATACAAATGCAGTATGCAGAACACTCTAATGGCTCTTGACACAGCTGGGATGATCTGATACTCAAATGAGATTTTCTATTCTATGAGATTTAACACATTTGGACTTAATGATTTTACTACTGTGTCAGGTACTGGTCATCATGAACATCTAAGTCATCCTTTATTTGTTTAAATAAAGATGTGCATTTGAGCTTCCTTTTTGCATTGAGTATCAGGAACATGTCCAGCCTGTTTGGCAAAGCTTCCTATTTCCTGGCTTCAAAGAGAGAAGCATGTACTCTAGATTCCCCTTTCACCTTAGGTGCCAAGAAATTCTAAGCTCAATTCAGTGTCCAGCAATTCTTCATCCCAGGAGCTTCTACCAACCAGGGTACAGCTCCTTGAACTGGTTTCCAACCCACCTCTACTGGGACTGGTCTGGATTTACACCATCCATAATGCAGTAAGCTTTCTCACATTTTGCTCCTTGGAACTGCCAGGGGCATTTGTCATAAATAAATAAAAAGACACCCGCAGGTGCATTCTTCTCACTTTCAAAGGTTTAACTTTGGGCTCCACAGAAGAGCAGTGAAGTGGGAAATGAGCCCTTCCCTGGCTGCCATCCGCACCTGAGCTTCCCAAGCTGCGCTGCAGCCTCTGAAGGGAGAGGCGCCTCAGCATTCAGGCACTGGGGAGCCCAGAGCACTGGGCTGGCCGCCAGGCTGCACCCAAAGGAGCCTTCAGGAACTCTCTGACCACGCCCTGGAACGTAGGGCGCTGCAAGGGGGCAGGTGTTCGTGGTGATGGGATTACTAGTGATGCCCTTTTCAATGGGTAGCATTCATATGCTCTTACTACCATAATGTTGGTTTATGTCAAATAGTTCAGCATTTTTAAAAAAGGTTCAGTGTATGTGCAAAGCAAAGGGGAGAGAAACTGTAAAATGGGTGTGCAACTTTCCTTCTTACACAACTGTCTGCCTCTCCGGGGCTAACCGGGGTTTCCAATCTCTCCAGGGTCCTTGGATACTTGGCAGATATTTAAGTATATATGTTTTTGCACAAATAGCACAACTACTTTTTCTCAATCTTGTGTTATAATAATCCACCTTAAAAGCCTGAATACTGCTGACACGGGATAGTCATTTAAAAAATCCAAAGAGCTGCACCTTCCGGGATGCGGCTGCTCTGCTGCAAGGGCGCGCCACCAGCTATGTTCTCCTGGTGGGTACTCGGGTGCTTCTCACCGGTGCAGCACACAAGTTCATGGTGAGCAGAAAAGCGGGATGCTGATGGTTATTTCAATTTTACCTTCTTTCAACTTTAAGAAACTCATGGCTTTGAAAATGAATGATTATGTGCTAGAAAGCCATAATATCAGTGAGCTAACATTGTAATTTAACGTAGTAATTTAAGCAAACTTCAAAATATCAAATTGTTTTGAAAGACTGGTCAGCAACCCAAGCAGGCTGGCATTCGTCATGTGTGGAGGGACCCATGAAGCAAAGGATGGGGGCAGGGAGGCAGGAAAGTTAATGGAGCGAAATCGTTATTAGGCGGGTCAATCTCGGCCGGACATGGCGGCACATGCTGTAATCGCAGCACTCTGGAGCTCAAGCAAGTCTGTGACCCAGGGCTAGGGATGAAAGCTCGGGGCGAACACCCTCAGTCCAATCCCTAGTTCCACAAAAAGAAAGTGTCAACCTCAAGTTACTTAAAACACACAAAATAATCTGCTAATATACACAATTTAAAGCCATTCATTCTTCACAGAGCTTGGGCTGGTATTCACCGAGGCCTGGAGCTGCTGACAGCTCGCCCAGCCCCCTCGGTTCCCTTAGAGTCCGTGCGGAAGCGTAAGTCGCCGTTGGCAGCAGCAGTGGGAGCAGAGCCGGTCACCACAGTGGATCGTTATTTCCTCTCGTTAATTAGCGCTCTATTTCAGCTGTTTCACGCTGTACACACAGACTCTGAGGGGAGGAACCAATCGCCAGAACTGAAGCAACCAAGTCGTCCACCTTCAGGATCACTGTTCAACGCTGTGGCACATGCAGGGATCTGCTGTAAGGGGTGGAAGAGGCGGCAGCTGCGCAGCGACTCTAGCGCCACCTGAAGCCTGATGGGAGGATTCCAAACCACTAAGAACCTGCTGTGGAAATGAGCTCTACCCTGCACCCAGGTTTCACTAAAGGATGAGTAATAAAGCGTACATGTTGTATGGGTGCTGATGTGTGTCACCTTCCGGCTCAGAAACTGCCGTTGAAAGCAGATGGGTGTGCTGCACTTCTGCGTGTGCGGACGGCTCAGAGCAATGTGGCTCCTTCCTCTCAGTGCTGTCCCCTGCTGATTCCAGGCGGCCACAAATCGGGCAGCTCTGCTCTGTCACTTTTCTGCCAGGATTCCTGTCCTGCAACCAGCTGATTCCCAAGGACTGAGCCCTGAGAATCTATGCACCAAATTCAGTTTCATTCTCTTTAAGTTGTGCATGTCGAGAATGGTGTCCACAACAGGAAAGCTAATGTACACATGAGTATTTTGCATATTATAAAATGTTCAGTGACTTATTTAGGACTCAAACCAACGGAGGATTTGAGGAGTATTTTATCAATGACATCATTTGGAACCGTGGATACATAGTAATCATAAAAAGGATGGTTTTACAGAAGGAGAGACAACTGCCTCCGGGCCGCAGCTGAGTCCGATTAGGCCCCACCACCTCACTTCTGCTTCACTACTGTCTCTGAACTCCTCAAACACCCCTTGAATGAAGTTAACTTGCAATCAGTTATAGTTGTGATAGTTGTGATGACATGAATTATCAAAAAAAGTTATTAAAGAATATCCATTGTGAGAACCGACCCCTAGTAATCAGGTCAATGTACAGCTTGATAGTTGAAATATGAGATGCTTTTAGAAGTGGAGGAAGCAGATGTTTCTAGCACCATTAATTTTCAAATGAAACCAGCACCAGATGAAGAAAGGGAAGTCCCCCAAATATGCCCGCTCTGGGTCAGAAGTACCGCCACGCCTCAGGTGTGACCACAATCCCAAAACATATCTTAATTTTGTCTGTTTTTTTTTTTTTGAACTATAAATAAATGGACTGTAAATAAATGGACTGCAAAACCAGTAGTGTCTGGTTTTGTTGCCCCACCATCTCAGTCTGTCTGTCTTGTTCTCCACGACAGATTCATCCCTATGTGTGGTTTGGTCACGGGCACCCTTTCATGAACACTCAGGTGAGTGTCTGGCACACATTCCCAGGAGAGCAAGCGCTGGGTGCTAAGGTCCACGTACATGTGAGCCTGATCTAGAGAAGAGGCACAGGTTACTCTTCAATTATTTTTCTTTGTACAGGTTTGGGAAAGTGTGTAGCTGTCAGTGTAAATTTAATAGGTTACATTGTAAAAGGCCTCCCAAGTAATGGAA